GATCAAGAAAAACTTTTTGATTTTAATGAAACATTTCTGTCTCATCTCAAGTGTCTTGGGATGGACCTTCTGACACAAGCTCTGTACCGCTCTATCTTGCCCCTGATAGTAACAGTGCCTTACATACTTGACTCGAGGACTTGAAGGATGCCAGCAACAGCTGCTAGTTTCAGGGAAAAATTTTGTTTGGTCAGCAGACAATATTTTTGTTTGCATAATGCTAGCTAGCTTATCCCCAGTGACTACAGTCTTCTTACAGTGAAGCTGTGAGGTTCACACACACACTCCAACTATGAGTTGGAATGGCGAGAAGAATGGTAAATGGACTTGTACTTGTATAGCGCCTTTCTAGCCTTCCGACCACTCAAAGCGCTTAAATGAAAGTATACATCTACTGTTACTGTAATTAAAGCTTTAAGACATTACAATGGTATTCATTTTAATTGCAAACGTAGCATAGGTTAGAGAACAGTAGGATCAAGTCGCATATAAACTATTTAGATAAAATAAATAATTGGTATTTTTTTATTTTCATGCCAACAGAAATTAAGATAATAGCTTATAACATTTATAACATTTTTATATGATATGAATATTTGAAATTAAACATTTGTGTGACTGAACTTTTGTTACAGTATTTTCCTGATGGTTTATCACATCTGTCTTTTGTACCTGAGTGTATGTATGACACTAAAACAGAAGAGTGACATGCGTTGCATATGTCCAGAGTCTGTCTCTATGGCCTCCTTGACAGTGGGACTATTCGACATGTCAACTGGACCTTCAGTAGTCCTTCATTGGCTCTGCTGGCCCCAAGATAAGCCAAACTGAGAACATAAACAAGGTCCCCCCAGAAATGTGAAATTAGATATTTAAAAAACGTATATTTTAAGATTTATTTTTCATCAGTTGCTGATCAAGACTTAGTTATTTCCAAACTCTACCTTGGTATCCCGTCCTCTGCAGATACACACTTTAAAGCATTACAAAGGCTTAATATATTATCTTTATCGTTTTAATTTTTCGTTTAATTAGTTTTAAAATACACAAATAAAGAACAATACTGACCATGTTATGGTACAGTCGGGCTGCCGTATGTGTATGTACAACTTAAAATGCTAGAAACGAGAACGGATTCATCTCACTTGTGTTGGTGCTTGCGTGCGCGCGCGCCAACAAGTCTACTTAGCAGGCCTACTGACATTAAAGAGAAGTAAACAGACTGGGCTGGGTGGGGGTCTGCCATTGGTTGACAGAGGCTCTGAAGTCTGTCTCTCCTCCCCTGTAGTAAAGATGACGTAAAATTCAGACTCTCTCTCTCTCTCTCTTTCTCTCTCTCTCTCTCTCTCTCATACAGAAAAAGTGGCTTTACCATAGCTCAGTATCAACCAGCCAGTAGTGTCCAAGTGCCGGCCCAGACTGCTCCTGCCTTGCCAAACGGCCCTGTGGCTGACAGCTGCTGACTCACAGAGGAGGATGAGATGAAAACTGAAAGGAGAACAGAAGGAACCCGCAGTGTGACTTTCTAAAAGAAGAGGAGGAATAAGCGCTGCTGTAATTTAAGGAGAAGAAAAGGAACAATGTCTTAGAGGAGGAGGAGTTGTTCAGACAGAACCAAGAGGCCTACAGGGCCACCAGGCTGTAGACAGGACAAGCCTACTTGTGGCACGGAATACCGACAATCACGGTCGGGCCAGCGGGCTGTTGACAGAAGGCGCTGTGGAGATTATTCAGGATGCAGTCATCTGCTCTGGGCAACCGTTAAACAGCAGAGGCGACTTTACTTCTGCAGCATCCGAGAAGGGATCGCGTGTGTGAGTTAGTGTGTGCGCGCGTGCAAGAGAGAGTGCGTGTACGTGTGTTTGTGCGCGTGAGTGCGTCTGTGTTGTGTGTGTCACTATGAGTCTTGTCTCGGGCTTCCCTCACCACCCGGTCATGCACCACCACGACAGCCACCACTATTCCCTACATGCGGCGGCGGCCGGTCGGTGTCATGAGGACACTGGGGCTCCTCCGTACTTTACCAGCTGGCTGATAAGCCACGCGGATATGTCTCCCACCGAGTATAGTCTCGCGCCCGGCTACAGCCCAGAGTACCATGGCAACAGTGGCGGCGGCTCTACAGGCGGCCTGGACCCCCACCATCACCATCATCATCACTACGGACCTGGCGGGTTGGTTCCGGGGCCCGGCACCATCTCGGTGAACGGAGCCACGGTCGGCATGCACCACCACCACACACACCCTCGGACCGTGAAGCGGAGACCCACGGCCAACCGTAAAGAGAGGCGGCGGACCCAGAGCATCAACTCGGCCTTTGCGGAGCTGCGGGAGTGTATCCCCAACGTCCCGGCCGACACCAAGCTGTCAAAGATTAAGACGCTGCGACTGGCCACCAGCTACATCTCCTACCTGATGGACATCCTGGACAAGGACGGACAGCACGGAGACACACAGGCCTTCAAGGCCGAGCTGAAAAAGACGGAGGCTCGGGAGGAGCGGAGGAAGAGAGAGGCGGTAGGTGAACCGAGGCTACCTACTGCTGAATTCAAATAAAGCCACCTAAAATTAAAATAACATCAGAGTAAATATCTTCATCAGATATCAGATGTGATCAGCTGCCATAACCCAGAGTGTTTCCTGTTATGGGTTAAACTAAAAAGGAACGCTTGTTGACACTCCCGTAAGGCGACGGTTCTTGTTCAAATTCTATGTTTTAGGGGGAAAGAAGACCTAGGCCTAGGCAACAGTTTAAAATACTTTGGGTCTACAGCTTAATTAAAGGACTTTTTCCAAATATTCAATTCGGCATATGTTAGCAGTGGATCAGTGGACTCATTAACAGACCAGTAATAGAAAAAAAGAAGAGCAACAGCCTGAAACAGTTGAGAGTTCAGTGGATTAGTCAGCAAGCTTTTAAGGACCTAATGTGATGGAAAGATAAACATAGATAAAGTAGAGCCCAATTTCATTAGTCTTATTCCTAACTGACAACTGCAGTCACCTTTTATTTAGTTAGTTAGTCAGTTTTGGCTGTTGACCTAAATCAATAGGTAGCCTTTGTACAGTGTTGCCATTTTTAAATCGAACTATTCCTTCTTTATTTTAATAGTTTATCCCACGAAGATTAACCACTGAAGGTCACAGTTGTAAACACCTCTTCATGAGGTTTGCCGGTAGTCATCGTCCGACAGCAGAGCTGCAGGCCTGCAGCAGTGGCTGTATGAAAACGTTGTATCAGAAACAACATGTCTTACGGAGTAAGAATGCACGGAGTGCTTCTATTCGACCTTGAAATGTGCCGTTCATGTCGCATTAGAACAAAAGTGTTACTAAAAGAAATATAGGCTACTATTTGGTATAAAAAAATCTTATGTAATTTCTAAAATATTGGCCAACTCAGCTTTAAAAAAAATGTCATTACAAATCAGTTTTGCATGGCATATAATCCTAATATAATTATAATTCAACTTTTTTTCCTTTTGAGCATAAATACTAAAGAAGAAAAAAGAAATGACAAGGCTGTTAAATATAACGCCGCTTTCTGTTATGCCGCATGTTGACTGGACGGGACGGCTACTAAAAGAGTGTTCAACTTCGCTTTGATTATTTCTCTGTGATGATGCGTTGTAAACATTTTCTACACCAAGACAAAAAATTAAATTTGTCTTATTTGTCATTGCATCATCATTTATTTATTAGAATATAGTTGGCTCTCAATATTGGTCATATAGGCTAATTTACATCTGTTGCCAAAGCAGCAGCACAATGTGATTAATAATAGAGCTGAAATATAAATTAGCAAACCGTTGATTTTTATCTTGACATAATTAGCCTATATTCACGGACGGATCTAGAGAATTATTCAGAGGCATCCTTTAAGGGGTGGCAGAAATATATGCTCATTTAATTTTAAACAATCACATATATCAATATTTGCTTGGGAAAGCCCCCAAATGAAGATATTTGAATTTAGAAACATTACATTATTCTGGCACATTATAAATTAATAAATTGTTTTATTTCCAAATCTTCAGACATTTTCCCAAACACATGTCTGTTTTCACTGAATTTATGTGTGAATGTAAAATTCGGCCATAACAGATTATTAAATTAATTTCCATTTTTTAACATGTTATTTTTTTTTTTTAATAATCTGAATTAATGTGTTCAATTTGACACCAAACTGGGATGGCCAGGCATTTTTTTACCCCTCTAGATCCTCCCCTGCCTTTTTTCATCAATCAATTATATAAGTAGGTTTGTCTGTCATCTATGGAGACTCTCTAGGACCTTTACATTTAGACCTCCAAAACCAGCTTCATGTAGCCTACCATTGCATACAATTTCAATTTAATTCAAGTAGCTTGTATGTGTGCCATACAATGTTGCCAAAGCAAATAAACACATACAAATACATATACATAAACAAAATAAACAAACAAAAGGAGCTGTTATAACGTATAAAGACACAATAAATGAATTATTAATTAATAAACATTAATTGTTAGCCTATACTATTACTACCTATAGGCCCACTAATCTACTGTGTTGTATCCTTTTTACGTGAGTGAGGATGTAAAACTAGCAGAGTTAAAAACAGCCAGCATACACAAGAGAGAGACAAAGCAATACAGGCTTCCCCTGTGACAGAATCACACACACATACACACCAATGCAGAGTACTATAGTACAGAGTAATCTTATAGCTGATTTATTTGGGGGATGAATTTAAAAAGCCAGTGAAGCACACAGGCATCCGCTAAAGAGAGTGTAAACAGTAGTAAACAAAGTGTGTTTACACATTTTTATAATGGACACTTGACTCCTTAACCAGCCATTACGTATTTCCTCATACAGCTGAACCATATAAACAAAAAGATTTTACACAATAATGATATAGTCCAAAATGGTTAAGACTAACTGTGGAGCCATAAGATTGGTTGCCATCCTTAGACATCTTGGAGCCAGGAGGGGCCAGGTCCAGCCATGCAGACCCACCACTATTATTCCTGCTTTTTGATGGTTTGGTCCTTACAGCATGCTATATTATCCACATAGTTTTGTTCCCAGCATATGCTGTCCATAGCCTATGGCTTTACAAGGTCCCACAATCGCTAAGGATTTGTTGTTTCCTATTTAAACTGTCTTTTACTTGACTTTTGCTTTCACATGAGCACATCCACATTTAGTGGCATGAATATGCACGTGCTCTTTTTGTGTACTACTATATACAAACAGAGCCAAGCATCATGTCACTGATACATGCTCTGCCAGCCTTTTGAACACATATGTTTTTATATATGTATGATAAATGGCTATATCTTTTTCAGAGCTAACATCAAGCTTTAGCGCAGCAGGGAATTGTGTGTAGAAACAAACAATACATATATAACAGATCAAAATATAGTGGAAAAGAGCAGAACAGAAGAATTATTTCCTGTCTGTTGCTTAATGTGCTGCCTATAGGAAGTGTTGTGCATAATTGAATCCAGAAAGCATTTTTTCCTCACTTTTCAAGTTGCAATCACTAATAGGAGGATGTAGTCCTGTTCATAACTCATGTCAACTCTCTCATGACACTCCAGTCCTGAATTCAAATACAACTGAGAAACTTCAGTTTATCATAAAATGCATCATATGCATCCTTTATTTGTTTAATCGATTGAGTAACTAAGTGAGTTTGATTCTCAGTGCAGCTGAAGTTACATGGCTTATGCTCCTCAACCTGCACTTATCTTAATGAATGAGTAGGAATTTAAAGAGGAAAGCATGTCTAAGCTTGCAAATAAGGAGGGACTCTGACATTATTTTACATTGTATGTGCAAGGGAGAATTAAGATATAATTTTTTTTACAATTTGTTAGATTTTTTTCTTCGGCCACACTGTTTTTGTCACTGATTACAGTCATGGCTTAAACATGCTGCTTCAATGTGGGTTTGTTTAGTTTGCTGTACTACAATGGAATAATCCAATGATCTAGTTTGTGCAAAATCGAGTTCATGTAGACAGGGACAAGACAGATCTGTTTTGGTCAGTCACTTATTTTAGGCTACCCTTTGAATCCATGCTTTTTATTATAAATATGTGTGTGTGTTTTTCTTTAGATCATCAGAAAAGATTTCTGATCGAATGATTTAGCCTTTGGTGACAAACCTGCATGTTACTGACTGAGTCACAGCACATATTTTTATTTAGTAGCAGTGTGAGGTTTTTCAGAAAGCATTTTCATTGTGCTCTCTGTGTCATGTTTGATTCCATTTTGCAACTGTAAGTGACACAGAGTAAATGTGCAGTAAACCTGCTTGTAATTCATAAAGGTGACATGTCTGTAATAATAACATAAGATAAACTATTGTGTGTGTGTGTGTGTGTGTGCGTGCTAGTATAATGTAAAATCATAATTCTTTATTCACAGGTCCGATTAGTATTTTAATATTTTCTTCTTCTTCTCCTCATTGCTGTTATTATTATTATTATTATTAGTGTTGTTGTTGTCTTATCTAAATTGATAAGCTGTTTCTGTTTAGGATACTAGTGTAGAGACAAAAGAACAGATCGCGCTGTTGCGCCCGATGAGGACTATAATAATATAGAAGAACATTACACAAAGAAAAGAAGTGGGATTGACTGTGAATCTCGGCTGTTTAACTCATCTTACTCCTCCACATGTTATTGGAACTTGTGGATGCATTAACGCAAAAATAATTAATTAATAAAAAGCATATTTGCCATTTTTATTTTTACAGCTCGATTAGACTTTTTCTACACGCACACACACTACACACACACAGTGTCGCCCTGCATTCAAAGTGTCAGTTTAACGCAAACCGTCTTATTTTTAATTATATATTTTATTATTTTTTATTTTGTTTAAATTATTTTAAGTAGGTTTAATAGCAGGAAACAAAAAAACTAGTGAAGAAATCAAGAATAAAAGCATTATTATTTATACAGAATTGAGTTGGTAATACGCTTACGTGTGAAGCGTTCAAATGTAGCCTAGGTTGTGCTGGATTGGATGGATGGTATATTGTTCACAACATATTTGCAGAAAGCAAGGCTTTTTTTCAGCGTGAAAAGACGGACTGGACCTTCAACATATTATTACACCATATACAGCAGGTTATATAGGCTACATCAAACACGTCACTCACAGTGACAGTGATGGTCCCGGCCGGTATTATCCTCGAGTGTACAGTGTGTAGACAGTAACTCAGCGCACTGTGAATCAATTTTTAAATAATTAAACATTTTTATAAATTAAATCATTTCCAAATCGTCCTGTGGTCCTGAACGTACTATAGCATCGTCTATCTTGTTTTTTTTAGTATTATTATTGTTGTTGTTGTTGTTGTTATTAAGGACAAAACGTCTACAGGCAGTGTTAAAGTAGAGGGATTACAACAATAAAAAATAAGGGTGGTTGGCAGTCTCCTGGTGCGCATATTTGTACGTGTATTTGTAGAAAAGGAGAAGAAATCATCATTCATTTCATGCAATTTTTTCATTGCATAACTAGCAACATATAAAGTTATTCCATGGTGCTGTGAAATTATATTAATATATGTTTGATTAGGCTAAACACCGCTTCAGAGAGAGCTGTTGGCAGTGGGAAACCGCAATTCTTAACAGGCTAAGAATTTTCTTTATAAAAATCAAATATATTATTATTGTGAATAATAATGATAATAATGTTTTTCCTTTTAGTTGATACTGCTCTTTACAAGATAACATCAGATTGTTTTTTGAACATTTATGAAACAACCTGGAGAATGTATTCATTAAAATGGTTTTAATGGTAAAATGGCAAAGACAGAAAAGTACAACGGTTTCCATCTATCAACGTGACCAATGTATATAACAATAAATATCACGTGTCTACAGGTGGAGATTCCAAAGACAACATCATCTTCATCATCCTCATCCTCCTCGTCAGCGGGCGATAAGAAGAGTAAAGGGCGGACAGGATGGCCTCAACACGTCTGGGCTCTGGAACTCAAACAGTAGCGCCCTCTGCTCTCTGTCCCTCTCCGGTCCTCGGGGAGCGGGACGGGACAGCCCTGATGACTGTAGCCGCAATCATAATCATCTCTGTGGACCTTCCCGTAGCACGGTGGACAGGAAGAAAGTAACAGTTTACTATTGGTTTGCTTATTGGTTGGAGTTGCTGATAGAACATAACTTCAAATTGAGAACTCCACCACCTTTCTGCCTTTTGTTCTGTGTAAGACCTTGAACACTGATCTCCTCCTCAAATTTCTCGAGAAAACAACACCTAGCCTAATGAAAATATCACATATTTCTGTAAGCCCATTCCCGCCAGTAATATTTAAAAAATGGGTTGATGAAATGATACCGTTCATGTTTAGTCAAAATGATGGGGAAGATAATCAAAATGAAATAAAAAGTCCTAATTATGAGTTAAAGTCAAAATTACTAAATAAAAACATAATTATTAGATAAAATTATGACCGACATAGTTATGACTTACCATGGGGATATTTTTTTTATCAAGGCGAAGTTTTCATATTATATTTTATTATACTGGCGGAAATGGGCTACTATACTTCCATACATATTTCATGTTTATTTGAAAAGTTTGGAGATTTGAATTGAAAAACATTTGAACAGAAAAAGCAGTAGCCTATTTAGGGCTTCAATAAAATGTATTATCTTTCCTTAAGACACCATATTTTATGTCAGTTGGAACTTTGGCTATGGGTTAATTTAAAATACAATAAATGTTTATGAGCTTGAAATATATGTGCGTTCGAGGTAGGAGAGTTGCAAATACTACATTATCTATAACCTTTGACCTCGTGAATCAACTGACCACTGTTACGCTCGCTCCGCTTCTGCTCCTTTCTGTCTCTCTACAAGCCCATAAAAGCTTTTAAGTTATGTTCTACCAGGTGTGTACGTTGCGACTGAGAACAGTAGCTTTATATCAGTTAGATTGTGAAGAGTCTCTCTTCCTTCCGAGGGAAAACAGGAGTTGGGGTTAAAAACACAGACACACGACGTGCTCTGAGCTTTATTTAACGGAATATATTTATGTGCAATGTGGCCGTTAGAAGGACCGAAACAGTGGACATTTTTACTGAGTATCTTTAAAGCGACAATGTATATGTGAAGTTCTCTCTCTCTCTCTCTCTCTCTCTCTCTCTCTCTCTCTCTCTTTCTATCTATCTCCATTTCAATCTCTCTTTCTCTTCTCTCTCGCAATTTTCGGTTGTAAATGTAATGACGTCACGGTGGTGAAATGTCCGTGTTGTGGCGTAAAATTGTGGTGGGAGTCTAAATAATGCTTAATGTGGGATGTAAACAGTGTCATGAACTGAATAAACCACCATCTGGTTACGTGGTAACTGATACAAACTGACTTCTTACATTCTCTGCGCAAATCCATTCAGATCTAGAGAAATAATCATGGGGTGTCCATAGGGTGGCAGGCATATATGCCGATATAATCAGAAATAATCACATGTATCAATATTTGTTGCAAACGTCCCAAAATGAAGATATTTGGACTACATGTCTTTTTTCATTGAAACAGTGATGGGTGCAGGGTATACACTTTTTGCTAGGATGGCAAAGGCATGACATAGTTGTGTGTATGGAGTAAGGAATACAGAATACTCAGAATGCACAATTCTGTAGTTGACACTGTAGTCTGTGGGCCAGTATTGATTGCAAAATCTGAACATCTTCTGTCTAATGTAATTTCATAATGATCCTGAAGTCAAGCAGCATAATATTACTGGCACATCTTTTGGGTGAGTTAAATATGCAAGAGTAGTCTTACATAACAACTATTTATACCACAGGGTGTTTATCCACTGAACGTAAGCCTATCATTTAATCATTAAATTAATGTTGTGTTTGACAGCATTTAACACCAAACTGGGGGGGGGGGGGCAGCTGGGGTGGCCAGGCCTTTTTAGGGCTGGTTTTCTTAACATCCTTTTTTAGTCACTAAAATTAGCTTTTAACATTTTCCAGAAAAACACCTCTGGAGTTTTAAAAGAAAATATACTTTGTCTACCAATTAAGGGATTATAGTATGTGAAATTAAACATTTTGATTTTGTCATGTGTAGCCAAATATCTTCGCAGTGGAAACACAATATTTGCTGTGGAATCTGCCAACAGATACAAATCTGTGGGGTTTTTTCTTAACATACTAAATATAGTTATGGATTAAGAAAAAAATCTTTCCATATTTCAAAGTAGAAAATTAATAAACAAAAACTTAACCTCTTTTGTACAAGGATGCAAAATGGATCATAGTCTGAATCACATTTAATGGATGTTATATAAACATATTTTACATATTTTCTTTTACAATTAATTCTATTTAAAAAAAATTCTTAAAAATTCTTTGCCTCCTCCTCATGATTTCCATACAGAAGTGTCTTTCATCTGCAATGTATAGCTGAGCTCAATCTCTGTAACTGCAACTCTCCCATTGTCTCGCCACATTCACATCATATTGAAAGGAGGACAATATGACATATTGAATTGAATTGACATTGGAAATGTCTTTAATGTCCCCAAGGGGCAATTTGGTTCACAACCAGAGGCCACCCACATAACTCATTCGCCAAACCACACATAAGAACGTGCTACATGATGAATAAATAGAAGCTAATCACACATGTCACATTATATAACTAGTACTATATGATTAAAAATAATATTACAGAAAACAATAATAACTAATTTACTGTGACATTGGGCAGGGATTGAAGATGGTACCTATAGTTTTGTTGAGAACCCAGACAGCTTGATGGGTGTACAACGATGATCTTCAGGGTATCTGCGGACGGGTTTTCGGGAGGTATACTCGCCGTCCTGATGGTAGGAGCTCAGAGTGTAGTGGGTGAGTGATATTGTGGCTAGACCATGGGAGAGTTGAAGAATTTAACTATTTGCAACACACAGATCCAAGATGGTTTATCATAAATTCAACATTGAATGACATTCAGCTCTTATTTTGTAATCAGAATCAGTTGTTTCATTTGTGTGAGCACTACATATTACTTTGGGCAGCGGGTGGATTTATTGCAGTGTTTGCTCCCTGTGGTGACACACTCCTGTGATTTGTGACACAAGGAAATGGAGCCAAAAATTCTCATATCCCACTTGAATAATCACCATGAGGCCGATGTTCAAAAGCTGATTAACGCAGACAGGTGATAATCAAACTGAAATTTCAAAAAGTGATTTGAGACTATTGGCTTCTGTCCAAATATCTGAACTATGTCACACTATTGAGTGAACCTGTCCTCACTTTAATATCACTTTGCGTGGTCTCTATTTCTCCAGTCGATATTAATGCCTATAGTTTTGTTTTACGGTGATGTTTTCAACTGCACCTGCTGTTACAGACGATAGGCTCAGATTCATGTCAGATACTTCCTCCCTGCCAAGTCCTATCACGCTTCTGTAGCAAACTCTTGTGGTGCCTTTGCTGTGGCATATTGGGCATCCCACTGCGGCTGATGCACCTCCTCAAAAATGTAAAATGTCACACGGAGAGCTGTGATTGGTCAAACTTGTGGTTTCTGGTGCTGGCAGCATTTGTTGTTGTGAAGACCATACAGGAATGCTAAGGAATTTTCTTGCTTTCAGTAATGCAGGGTATTTACATTTTGAACTCTAGGGACATAATGAATATACAGCACTGCCTAAAATGTATAGCTGCTGCAGTACCCCAATAGTGTAGTATCATCCAACCTCAGTACCTCCTTACTTGTTGCTACAGTGTGATATTTGAGCTTCACTGTACAGAATGTATGTGCAGGAGTTGACACTAAAAGGATCGTTTTAACATCCGTCTGCTGGAAAGGTGGAAATTTCTCTGTGCTCATTGGAAATCAGATTTTAAGGGACGGGGCCTGCCAATTTCTGGCATCATAAATAGTCTGGAAGTCACTTCTGGTCCAGTATGCATCATCAAGTGTGATGTAGAAACTTGAAGCCACCAGTGCACATACACTAAGAATGGACTTTAAAGTGTAGTAGGAGACATCTTGCAGATTCTGAAAATTTTAATGACATAGAAGGAGTATGTGTCTTTTTAATGGTTTTAATCTGGAAATGGCAATTTGTGGCAAATTAATAATTCCAAACCAGTAAAACCCTTTAACAAATAAACCTCCCGACTAGTTTTGCAATGTTGACAGCTGAAATTGAAAACTATTGACACACTTCCCGCACATTACCACAGTATCTGATGGAGTTTTTCATTGATAAGGCCTTATCTGTCATCCCAGTTGGTATGTTGTTGGGGAGAGACAAAAAAAAAAAGAGCTTGAGAGGATTTATTTAGGTTGTGACAAACGGAAGATGTAATGGCCTGAGTCTGGCCTCGGGTGAAGACAGGAGAGCAGATAATTAGTGAGAGAGCTAGCATCAGACAGAAATGACCCCACAATGACTGGAGCACAAACATATAAAAATACACACTACAACCTAAGGAAGCTGTATGTCTGAGTCAGATGTAGGGGGCAATTAAACTAATGACTATGCATTTACAGTTTATTAAAGGTTCATTTTCTACTACAAACTGAGGCCAACATCTAAAAAAACCTCCACTAAATATTTTCCCTGAAACCTAGTAAAATACCACATACACTATTACCATTAGACACAACAATTATCTACAAATACATTGAACAAAATGCACATACTGCACATTAAGTATTATGGTCAACTGTGCTTAACATCTAAGACAAATGTAAGACAAATCACCTAATGTCCGAATGCAACATGCTTTAGTGTAGTCACAAAAGAAAAAACAAATGGAAATGCAATGGAAAAGGTATTAGTTTAAAAATCGTATTAGACTGCAAAACCAAGAAGGCAGAATAAAATTACAAAACCCCATCCAAGATACTCCAGTTGACTATTTTTTCTTGAGCATTACATCCAAAGTTCTTTAGTTCACTAGTTGTTCTCTTTACACACAATATTTGGTTATGCAGAAGTCATTGGAAAACTACTTGGCAGGTGATTGGACGAACAATCTGTCTATTATGTCTATCGCTGTCAGTAGAAAGAAAATACTCTCCAGTTCTGATATAACTGATGCTAACAGTGACACTAACACTAACCTCTTTAGCAGCCGCCAGTGCTGCCAGCCATCCAGTCACTTTTGCCTAGACACATCATCATTGATGTTGGGTATTTCAAGCACTTTCCCCCATGGCAACCTAGCTAAGGCTGTTACTT